TATAGATGTTAGAAAAGATTGGAAAAAAAAATCACCTAATAAAAATTATTATTAAAGATGTGTCTTTTCGTACATATAGTTGTGTAGCTGTGGTTAGGGTTGCCTAGAAGGGGCAAAATCAGTAAGATGGCTGACAGAGCATGGTGATGCAGATAAGTCTATTTTAGATGTACGTCAATGTCACTTCCAAGTATAAAGGGGGTGGAGCTTGAATCACAAGCTCTGTCCACTGATTTTGACACCACCACCTTTGCCTGGCTGGTTGTGAAATAGGATCAAAGATGCTCTTTTTCTCTCTTTTATTTACATCTTGCTTTAAACCTTCTTCCAAGTGCTAGTATAATTTCTGAAAGTCTTAAAAGAATTATAGAAGGAGTGAATTGGCAGAGCATAAGATTTTGCTTTATATTTATAAATCAAAAAGTTCATGTCATATCATACTGTATATATATACAAATGTTTATAACATATGAAGAAAATTTATCTATAATATATAGAGAAAATCTAATCATAACATATGGAGAAAATCTATCCATAACATATGAAGAAAATCTATTCATATGTTGGCTAGAAGTTGAAAATGACTTGATGCACGTAATCAATTATTAATCAATATTTATACATTCAGTTATAGCATTCCTTCTAATAATCTGGACTACGTTTTTAGGTTGTGTATAGATTCCTTCATTTATCTTAGAATAAATTTTGTTTGTAAGTTTTCTGTTAGTAAATTTTAATTTCTACCTTCTCTACCTTGATAAGAATGAATAAAGATCTAGACAGAGACTCTATAATTGTTTTAAGTATGTAGAATAAGATAAATGCGATTCAGATAAATTTAGCTCCAAGGTTGATTTCTATTTTGAAGTTCCTATTTTATTAAATTACTTTAAGCAAATATATAGGGCTTTAAATACATTTCTTTGGCAAACACATGCTGTGATATTTTAATTTTGAAAATTGCAATGATCTATTGAGAAAAGTAGAATTAATTTTTCATACTTTTCCAGGATTATTGTTGAATATTAATTTTAGGCTCAAATGCTGGCTTGAATAAAGAATTGGAAATTCAGAAATTCCTCTGTGGATTCATTTTGAAAGTTATTTTATCCCTCTAATTCTGGGAAATACTGAGATCCTTACTTATGTCAGAATCACTTTAGATGCATACACTTAATGCCATAATGTTTGCATGAAAAATAATGGGTTTCAAATCAAATTATCATGCTTTATCCATAAAAAGCAACCTAAAACTAAGTAGAAATTTCCTAACATGGGGCCGGATGGCCAGGGGGCAATTGGTGGTGGACAATCGCTGGCAGTGGTCCAGGGGAGAAGGAAAATGTGCTGTAGTTCAGCAGCAATGGTTGGCTGGGAATGAAGTGGGCATGGTCAAGGGTAAGCACCTAAACGTCATAGACCCTCTTTGTAAACTAAAAAAAAAGTGAGATGGACAACATCATCACCAAATGGACTTGTAACTGGCTGACAAGCTGCACTCAACACGTACTCCTTAATAATACTACATCTACATGGAGGGAAGTAAGCAATTGGATACCACGAGGTTCTATCTTATGCCCAGTACTCTTCAATATCTTCATCAATGATTTAGACCAGGCATGTCACACTCGTGACGTCACATGACGTCACATGACGTCTCGGGACTTTTTCCCCATTGCCATTAAACTCCAAATGGTGCGTGTGTATGTATACACACACACACACACACACACACACAGTATGATATGACATCCGGCCCGCAGGCTGGCAATGCCTGATTTAGACAAAGGGATAGAAGGGGAACTCATCAAATTTGCAGATGACAATAGCCAATACCCCAGATGATATGCTCAAGATCTTGATAGACTTGACACTGAGCCCTATCCAACAAAATGAAATTTAATATAGAGAAAAGTGAGGTTTTACACTTATACAGGAAAAGCCAAATGTACAAGCATGGATTAAGTGAAAACTGGCTCAAAAGCAATAACTGTGAGAGAGTTCTTGGAGTCCTAGTGGACAATCACTTAAATATGAGCTAGCAGTGTGCGTCAGCAGCCCAAAAAGCTAAAGCAATCCTTGGTTGCATAAACAAAGGGATAGCGTCAAAATCATGTGAAGTATTAGTACCACTTTATAAAACCTTAGTATGACAACATCTGGAATACTGCATTCAGTTTTGGTCACCACATTATAAAAAAGATATTGAGACTTTGGAAAGGTTGCAGAGAAGAGCAACAAAGATGATTAGGGGATTGGAGGCTACAAACTAATCAAGGAGAGAAGCAACCTAGAGTTAAAGAGAAATGTCCTAATAGTGAGAACAATTAACCAATGGAATGGCTTGCCTTCAGAAGTTGTGGGTGCTCCATCACTGGAGACTTTTAAGAAGAGAATGGACAGCCACTTGTCTGGAATGGCATAGGGTCTCCTGTTTGAGCAGGAGGTTGGACTAGAAGACCTCCAAGGTCTCTTCCAACTCTGTTATTCTGTTATTAGTGGGCAACCTTAGAGGAAAAGTGGGTCTATGTAAAATAGGTCTTTCATTATTTTGAATCAACTCAGTTCAGCTGTTTTTAAAAATTATTGATTTAAAAACTAAATGCATGTTACTTGGCAGATTAGTCAACTCAAAGACTTGGTATTGTAGTTTTTGAAGTCATATTGTGGTGGGAGATTTTGTAGACATTTATTAAAGCTCCTAAGCCAGTAGCCTATTTTATACATTGAAAGAAACTGAGAACATTGACCTGACCTGGAAATCTAGATGTTCCGGAGTTCAACTGAATAGAGTTCCCATGCATTAGACAAAATTCTGTAGTAACTAGCGTTATACAAAATTGTGTAGTAACTAGTGTTAATTTTCATCATCTGAAACACCTCACACTTTCAAGAATAACCAGAACCCATTGCTTACAAATGCCCTTTAGAGCAAGGTTTCACTGTAAATGTTGATGTGACCTCTAGAAATATGAACACCCTATTTTGATAAACCAATGGAAGCTTATCATAATACTTGGGTGGCAAATTTATAGTCCACCCACTGAAGTTTCTTCATACCACAGAATGTCTTGCTATTACTGCTGAAAAATGGTGATAATATTTTTCACCATCTTAAGGTAGAAAACACATTAGAATTACAGCATGTTCTTCAGCAGGTTTAACAGAGATTAATCCTGAAAACCTTGAAACGTGTCTCCTCCCCAGCATAATTTAAGAGCTCAACAGATGACTGCATTTGGCTTATCACCATGTATGACCCAACTCTTTGTTCATCATTTCAACATATAATACCTTTTCCCTATGCCTCTGTTTCTTCAGTCATTTAGATCTTTCATATAATGAAGGGTTCCATTTCATAGATCCAAACTTTATAATTACTCAAGAATCAGTGCTATTCAGCCAGAGCAGCTTTCTCCCAGGTCCATAAATAGAGGATTACAGCCCACATTCCCAACTACCATCTGCTGCTGCCTTATTTTCAGAGCACTTTATGAAAAGAGACTAGGAGTATGCTTTAGACTATGTTCTCAAATTCAAAAATCAAATTTTGATTCTCAGTGGGAATTTTTCTCAGCCACTTTACTGCTTCACATGGGGAAAGGCATGGACTTATAATTGCAAAATGAAATATAGTGTGTGTGGGGAAAAAACTGATACATCTTTAGGATAAGTGGGGACAAGAATAGGAAAATAAATTGTAGATGTACATCTTGGAAATGAAAAGGAAAGGATAAAATAAGTGTCTCATTATTTTATTTCCCAAAAAACTTCAGAGACCTTGATTTAGTGGCAATATTTTGAAAAACAGATGAGAAATAGAAAGGAAACAAATAAAAAGTACAGCAAACAGATGAAGTGTATGAGCTGCATACGTACAACAGGTGAAGAAAATGGCAACTTTGCAATAAAAAAGTTACTGATGGGTAGGAATTTTTTTTTCAGAAATATGTGAATTCTGAAATTAAAGTACATTGTTAAGAAGAATATTTCCACCATGGCAAGTTCCCGGTGACTGGATATCAACAAATTCTTATCAATGGTATGGCAGTGGAATTTTGGGAGTTGAAAATTACTACCTGGAACTCATCATGGTTGGGAAATACTTTGAAAATATATAAACCATGGGCTTTCCCCATTGTTGAGTTGAAGGGCTGTTCACCTGCCTTTGAGTCAGCAGAAAACTAATTTAGGCTAACATTTGCTATCAGCATAATATGTGCTGTCCCCATGGTTTATTCTTTAATTCAGCCTTCATTGTCTCTGTTTCAGCCACCGGGTTACTTCACTTTCCTTGAGATGCCTTTGGAGGATGCTTGAAAAAGGGATGGGGTTTAAAAAGTATTATAACTGAGAATGGTTTAAACTTGCTTACTCATGTTGGACTGGATTTTCAAGGAGTATGGTCAAAAAAGGCAAGATGGTGGCCATGAGGTTGTGATTGAAACTCCAAGCTTTTTTGTGTATGTTGTACATAAAAAAGCAGATGGAGCTTCAATCAGTATTGTGACTGCCATCTTGACTTGTTTGACCACATTCTGCAGATACCTCTGGAGGTGGAGCAGTCTCATGGGAACATGGCAGAAAAAAGTTGCTAAAAAATTGTTTGTGTCATGGCTAGGTGCAAGTGAGGAAAAGCCCCATGACCGAATTTAGAAATATGCTTACCTCAGAATATACCAACTACCTTATGGCCAAGCATGAACTTTATAATTTAATAATATATTTTAAGCAAGAGTTTGGTGTAATGGTGAAAGCACCATGTTAGAGACCAGGAGTTCTAATATAAGCCATGGCAAATTATTTCACAAATGCAAGGAACTAGTCCATGCAGTTGGCAGGACTTAAAATTAAATGGAAGGCAAGACAGAAATGCAGAAAAACAGCAAACTACAGTTTAGTATGACATCAACCCAAGTCTTTAATTTCTAACCCATGAATTTAGTAGCCATCCCTTGCCCATCATGATACATCCTCTTTTGGGGGGGGGGTTTGCTTACCTGCCTGACGAAGCTGTTCGATGTTGTGTCAGAAGAGGTGCTGCCATCAGAGCGTTTGAAGCGGTTCTTCCTTTTGCTATACTTCCCCTAACGAGAAAAAACATACAAAGGTCAAGAGTAGCACAAATGCAGAAAAACATACACAAGTAAGTAAGTAGGTGACAAAAAGTGTGGATATACACAATGCTATACTCTAATCCAGCAAAGGGATAATATAAACCCCATCTTCAGACAGTTGAACAACATGTTCCATATTCTTTAACTCAATGCTTCTCAACTGTGGTCACTAAGTTGTGTTTTGAGTTCAACTCCCAGAATTCCTCAGTGAGCATGCTGCAGGTGTCAGTGCATGCTGCAGAAAACATTGATTTGTTTCACCAAATTCACTTGTTTTTGAACAAGACACAGTGACCTGATTCACAAATAATACTAAATCATAAGTCATAGTTCAAAACACCAATAGCATGGCAATCTCTTCATTAAACAAACTGTGCTATGACTAACCATGCTCTGTGAATCCAGTTATAAAGGTCTGTTACAGTGCTACTAAAGCAAAAATGCAAAGCAGAAGAGCATTAAAAAAATCAAACAATTCTATGAAGTGTAAATACACCCCAATGGCACATAAATGTCTTGCTTTTGTTCTGATACACATAGGTCAGTTCCCTAAATTCACACAAGTCAGCACTGCAACAAGACACAAAACTTTGAGCCTAACAATGTTGTATCACTTGCCATGGCTTTGCAATACATTGTAATTGAAAAAGAACTATTGTTGAAAAACACTTGCTTTTTTAGATGTATTATATCCAGAATTCTGCAATGGGAGAATCCTTTATTTGTTTGGTTGGATTATAAATTTCCCACCCTTATATGCAACACATAAAAAGGGTGGGACTTTGTTGTAAGGGTTGCAATTGCCATATTTACTTTTTTGTTGCTCTTTTTTTGTGTCTTGTTGCAATATAGTTGTTTGGAGAAAATTCCACCAGGATACTTTCTTTAGGAAAAGTTAGGAAGAGTTGGCCCACTTATGAATCATAACCAACATTCCTCACTTTTTTCCAAGCTGAGTGAGAAACATTGGTAGTTTATTGTTTTTCACATCTCAGCAACCAGATTTCTAATCCAGTTTTTAAGAGGGTAAGCCGTGAACTGCTAAATGTCCATGTTTTTAACCATGAATCTTTTTTTAAAATTCAATCTGGATCATTCAAATTGAATATCAAAGCTGATTTATCAAAGCTGTGGGAAAGCCTACTGAGAGTTCATGAATAATTTTCTGAGCCTGTGAGGATCAATATTACACTATAGGTGATATAATCTAATCAGAAGATTATTGAGCAGAAAAAAGTCAGGGCATTTAGTGCAATTTTCATTTGAGGAAATTAAGAAGTTCTACTGGAATTAAAAAGGAAGAGAGGGCTCTTCCCCCTCCACACATGTAATTCTAAGCAGGAAGATACTCCCCACCCCATATATTTGCTGGTCAGTTAATTCTTACACCCACTACAGTTATAACCTGTGCCTTTTTCTTTTTATAGCAAGCTAGCAATACCAAGTTCCTTTTTTTAGGAGAGAGGATATCAATTTAAGCTTCTTTCCTTCACCTGCTTCTAAGAATCATGCCTCTGCCATATCCCAAGGAAGAATGTTCCCTCCCCCATGAACCAACCCTTTGCATCAATGGGGGGGGGGCACACCAGGAATGAGCCAGATGCTTCCCAAGCATGTCTCCAGAGAGAGAAAGGACAGCTGGTTGAGGAGAAACCCATTGTTATTAGGCCCCCACAGATAAGGTTCTTGTAGTTCTAAAGTCAAGCAGGGGAGGAAAGGAAGGCAGAGATGAGATTGGTATTTTTAGGCTTTTCCTCTCCCTGTTCTAAATCAGGCACATGCGTCACTCATAGCTGCAATACGCAGTCAGGCTCCAACACGTGGAGGACCATGAAGACCAGGACAAAAGAATTGCCAAAAGATGTTTTAGCTCCAAACAGCCCACTACTGCCTCACACATACTCAATTCAGCATTGCTTTTGAGGCTAGCTCTTGTGAGGGACCACACATTCATCACAGAAAAATCTAAAATAGTATCTTTCATTCCATTTGATTCTTCCATCAACGGAGAGCATTGGAGATGCTACTTCCTTATCAACTTGATCTCTCTCTGTCTCTCTTCCTTTTCCTCCCTCTAAGATCTACCTTTATTTTGAAAAAAAAAATAAGCTCCTGTTGTTCATAAGTGAGCACTGAGAAAACTGATATTTTCTATCCTTGGGATCATATCAAAGGACTCCTGTAGTTCAACCTCTTCTCTTAAAATATTCTGCCACTGACTTCTATTCTCTCATTATCCACATACATCAAAATAAAGAATATGTTGGCATTTGCCAACTCCCACTGTCTGTCTAGATTTATTAATATTCAATATTTCTCTCCTTCTCTCTTTTGCTCATCAAAACCATATAGTATAGCACTTTCTGAGAATCCCTTGTTTTCAGTCTGAGCCAATAATTTATCCCTTTAAAAAGTGGCTGGCAGATAAAAACACCAGCAATTTTCCAATAATTCACCCAGTAAATGTTGTTTTGGGAGCTCTTATAGCTAAAATTAGTAGCTAAACAAACATTTAGCAATAGTCAATATGGTGTCATTATGCTGTAACTATTAGAAGATGTTGAATATAAACTCCTTGCTTTGGAAAGTTAAAACTCAGAAGTAGATGATTTGGGAACAAAGTCTAACACATCTGAAAGGATGAAGATATAATCAAATCATTTTTCTCCAGATTAGAACATTTCATCCATGAATCTTGTTCTATCCTGAAAGACAGAACTATCTATCCTGAAGTAGTATAGGAAGAGAGAAAAACTTTATTACTCCCAGGTTTTCTCCATAGCTAGATACATAATTAATTATCTTTATTTAAATTCCCTAAGAATATCTTCTTACATAAACTGGGGGGATCATTACCAATCCTGAATCTACTAGTCCTGATTTCTATTGAGAAGAAAGCCAGTTGAAACATTTGAACTTCAGTGGCAAAGAATGGTAATCGTTTAATTCCCAGGTCACTTTCCTGATCACAACTGGCTAAAAATTCTGGCACATCTGGAAAGATGCACTAGTAATCAAAGGCTGGTGCACCTCAAAAGTTCTTAGAATCAGCCTGAGGAGCTTCTCTTATTACCAATCTCAAAAGTATCTTTCTCTTAACCAATTTATATTGGAAATTGAGGGTAGAAGGGAGAGGAACTAAGAAAATAAGAAAAGGCACAGATACAAGATCCTATTGTATATCTCCTCCTCCCCGTGAAATTCAAGGATAGAGGCAGAGAGATCCCCCACTTTCAGTCTGGTCTGGAAGTGCCGCCACCGATGGCTGTGGACAGATTTAAGGATCGCAAGGGAGAAGAGAAGGGCCTGAAGCTGAGAGATACTTTTCACTGGACCGACCGGCTAGCCGGAATCCCCATACAGCCATCGCTGCATCCCCTTATGTCCTACTCTGAATCGCACCTCAGCACCCATCCACCCATCCCAAAGAACCTGACTATTCTTGGGTGGTCGGCAGTTGAAGAACAGAAGCAGTAGAGACGATCCATGAAAACCTACAACGTGCTCTTCCACCCCATCCTCTTCCAGCATCAACGTTTCTCTCAGTTACATGCTAGATTGTGGGGGGGAGGAAATAATTCAGCACAGAATGTGGGTGCCTCAGCCCGGATCGGATCTCGCAAGGTCCCCCGGTCGCATCCACTGGATCACTCCACTCCCTCCTTCTCCCGCCGCCGCGATTCTTCTGATTTTCTCCCCGCCCCTCCTTTCTTTCGGACACGATCGCCACGTCCAAAGTTTCCTACATCACAGCCAAGCTGTCCTCAGCCCAATGGGCTGCAAGGCGTCCGACCGGTGCAGCCGACTGAAGAGCGGGCTGGCGGTTACGCACCTGGAGGCCAGGGTTGTCTAAGACCTCCATTTGGATGTCTTGGCTGGAGCTGTAAGGTGTGCGTGACATGCCGCTATCTTGCACCATGGAGACGCCTGTGCTGTCGGCTGAGCTCACGCCGGACTCATGGTGAAAGCCAGGGTAGATTGGGGTCGTCTTTCGCCTGCCCAGGGAGCCGACTACTAGCCTCCTCAAACTCGTAGCCTCGGCATGGCCCCTCCTGATGGCTAAGATGAGCAAGCAGGCCCCCTACGCGCGCGCCGCCGCCGCCGCCGCCGTGATGGATGAGCCCAGCGTTCCAATCATAGGGCATCGCCTACGAGCGCTTCCTGGCAACTGGCAAGGGCTGACTGCTGCCTTCAGCTCCCCAGGGGAAGGAAGAAGGGGTGGGAGTGGTTTGAGCCAAAGTGGGGCCGAGCAGATGGCGGGGAGGGGAAGGGAAGATGGAAGCTCCCGTCAATGGTCTCTCATCTAGCTAGCTTCCTTACAAAGATCCTCTGGGGTCCACCTGCTGCTGTCCCATCCAGGAAGCAGAATGGAAGGAAATTTGTTCAGCTTCCCATCCGGTTATAGCTAGCTATTTTCCCCCTCTTTATTTTGTCGATCCACGTTTAACATCTCCCTTCGTGATTTAGCATTAGGTTGGAGACGACCATTTTGCTTCCAACTCAGTTTTTTCACTCTTTCTATCTTCTGATGAGATCCCTGCAGAATTTGGGTCATGCAAGAAGATTTCAGGCTGTAGCTGAGAATAGCCAAATCTGACCACTGGCCTTTCTGGACGCTGAAACTAAGCAAGGTTAATACCACCAAGGACTCCATGGCTGGGAAGTCAACCTACTACCTGGCAGTATACACAGTTGCCAAAAAAAACCACCCAGGAATTAAATTTGGTTCAAATACATCATTAAACACTGATAATTTCTCAGGGTTGCCCCCCCCCAACAGCTATAAGCATAGAAGTGGAAGATGGGAGCAAACTCAGGGTTGCTTTAATAACAGAACCCCAAATTAGTCAACCACAGTTTTGTCTAATACATTCAGTGAACTCGGACTGTATTATTAGTTTATGGTTAAATTAGCTGTAAGTGATCATGTTGTGCAAACACAATTTGTTACATATATTTATAAGGTTTGTTCCAGGTGAACTGTACCTCTCCTCTTTCTGTCTCACTTTAGTCTTCTCCATTGAGATGTCTAATAGAGCTTGATTTAAGAAATATTATCTCCAAGTCTCTGAAATTATGAGATAAGGCTGATTCACCATCATACTAAGCCTGGTTTGCTTAACTTTTAGGTCAGTGAAAAAGCATATCACATTATGGTTTAAAATGCTTTGCAAATGTGCTCATAATATCATTAAGTGCAACATTTTTTATCTTTTTTTAATCCCAGCAGCCTGTTTCCACTATTGCTGCCACTGTTCATTTCTTTTGCCCAGAAACATTCCTTGCTTCGTTCACAAGCCCTGCTAACTGCATTGTGAAGATTCCTTCTTAACCATTCTTTAAGGACATCTCAGAACTCAGCTTTCATCTCATTCTAGAGTGTAGCTGAGGCCACATAACCTTATGTTTATCTGATCCTATGTTTTCCATCTTTTACCAGTATTGGCTTGCTTTATGCACAATTAGTGGTGCTTAAGAATTTATTGGTGGATTTTATTTTTTTGATACCATAAAAATGCATGCCACCCAAGTTGTAAATCATGTCCTTCTAAATATAATAACCTTTTATTTCTAAGAGTTATCCATTCTTTTAGCCACGCTAGAGCACATGCTTGGTAGTATAAGGCCCTATCTGGTAATCCAAATCCTCCATTTTCTTTAGTTTCTTGTAGCATTTTCAATTTGATTCTGGCTTTCTTTCCTTGCCAAATAAATTTCAAGATCAATCTATTCAAATCATCAAAAAAATTATATTTTTACAGGTATTGTTTGAAATTAAAAAAAAAGATGTTTGGTAAAATATTCATTTTCACAGTTGCTATTCTTCCTAGCACTGATAATTGTAATTTTTTCCATTTTTCCAAATCAGTTTTTATTTGATTCATTTATAAGGTTTGTTCCAAGTGAACTGTACCTCTCCTCTTATATAATTTATATATCTTCTTTTATCGTTGTGCATCTTGCTGTTAGGTGTATTCCTAGATATTTCAATTTCTTAACTATTTATAAATCTGTTTTTTCTGAAAGTTGGGTTTTTTACTTATCTGTTTTTAACTATAACTGGTTTTTTCTCTGTTTATTTTCAGTCCTGCTATTTTTCCAAATTCTTCTATCTTTTTCAGTAGTTTAGATATTGTGTCCAACGGTTCTTCTAAAATAAATACAAAGTCATCTGCAAATGTTTGTAGTTTGTAACTTTCATTTTTTTATCTCCATTCCTTTAATTTTCAGATCTTGTCTTATGTTTCTATTGAGAACTTCCAATGTTAGTATGAACAACAGTGGGGATAGTGGGCATCCTTGTCTTGTGCCTTTTTTAATGTTACAGTCTCCATTAACAATTACTTTTGCTCTTTGATTATCATATATTGTCTTAATAGTATTTATGAACTTTTCTCCAAAGTCCATACAGTTTAATTGTTGTGTCATAATGTAAAGTTTACATTATCAAAAGCTTTTTGAGCATCTAGAAAAATTAAAGCTATTTGTTTTCCTGGATGCATTTCATAGTATTCCAGTGTATCTAGAATAATCCTCAGATTATTTTTTATTTGTCCTTTTGATAGAAATCCATTTTGGTCTGGATGGATACATTCAATCAAAAATCTTTTCAGTCTCTCTGCTATTACTGAGGCAAAAATTTTGTAGTCCACATTTAATAATGATATTGGTCTATAATTTTTTATCTGTGTGAGATCTGAATCGTCTTTTGGTATTAAAGTAATATTTGCTTCCCTTGATGTATTTGGTAGTTTGGCCTCTAATAATACCTCATTACACACTTCCTTCATTGGTAGGTTTAAAGTATCTTGTAGACATTTGTAAACCTCTGCGGGTAGTCCATCTAGCCCTGGAATTTTATCCTTTTTCTTTTATAGCTTCTGTTACTTCCATCATTGTAATTTTTTCATTTAATATATTTTTCAGATTTTCTGGTACTTTTGGTATGTTTGCATTTTCCAAGTATTGTATCATTTTTTCCTGGGAAATTCCTTCTATATCATACAGTTTTTTACAGAATTCTTTCACTGTTTTTTTTTTATTGCATCAGTTTGAAATTGTAAATCGCCCTTCTCATCTTGCAGTTTATTTATCAATTTCTTCTCTCTTTCTTTTTTCAGTTTATGCGTCAACCATATTTCCAAAATCACTACATAAGAAATGCACTATTATTTGTATGGGAAAAGATAAAACCTAAAATTTACACAAAAATCCCAGAATGGCTATCAACGATGAAAGCTTTCAGACATCCAAATTTAGTTAAATTTGGAAAAATTTTAACGTATAAGGATATTCTAAAATCTAAACAAGAGCTAGAAGACCAGGGCATTGACTTATCATGGTGGCCCTGATTGCAACTGCAATCCAGGTATGACAAAGATGTTAAAGAATACAGTTTTTATAAAGATCAGACAGTGTTTGATCAGGTGTTGTTGACTTTGGGCATAACATAGAATTAGAGAAATGGCAAAATTTATGGGAAAGAAATTATAAACTGACAATAGCTACTTCATATAAAGAAAATTTATATAAAATGTTTTATAGATGGCATTTTCCATCTGTTAGATTAGCAAAAATGTTTAAAAATATGTCTAGCAAATGCTGGAAATGTAATCAGAATCCTGGGGCATATTATCACTTATGATGGACTTGTGTAAAAGCAAAAAAAATTTGGACTAAAATACATATGCGGTTAGAAAAAATATTAGGAAAACATGTAGATTTTAAACTTGCACTTTTTTTACTAGGCATAATGCCAGAAAAGTCCTATAAACAAAGTGTATATTTAACATTACATGTATTAACTGCAGCGAGGATCATATTTGCACAGCACTGAAAAAATGAGACACTACCATTGGAGGAAGCGATAATTAAGAAAATATTGGACTGTGTGGAAATGGACAGACTTACATTGAGAATCAAAGGAAAAGAAGACACAGTATAGTTTCAAACATGGAACTTATTTTATCAATGGTTAGAAAAGCAGGATAGAGAGTAAGAACTTAATTTGTATAGCTAGGCAAAATTAACCCAGAGAACATATTGTTTATTAAACACAGATAAATTGTAATGATAAAAAACCAATAAAATGCTTTAAAAAAATTATTGGGGTGATGATAGAATAAGAGGCTAAGATCAGTTCAGTTTCTATAGCTGTTTTGGCCTGCTGTGGTCATCTGATATGAAGCACTAAACATTACATGGATTCTTTATCTGCTTGGCTAAATGAATGCCTGGGCAATTTGTACATTGGCTGAAGTAGGAGAGTCCATCCACCAGAGTCCTTGAACCCCAACCCTTCCATACCTATTGTAGTCAGCCAGAAGGTAAGAGACAAAGAGTACACAGTGAGCAATAGAACGAAAAAAGAAAAGAAACTAAGAGAAGGATGAGTGAAGAAGAAAGGTAAGTGAGCAAAAGAAAGGTCTGGAAAACCAAATGAATGAGAGTGATGGAGCAAGAGAGGATAATGGAATGAATGAGAGCAGTGAAATGAATAACAGAGTGAGAGAACTGGCACTGCGGAAGGTGGTGGAGCAAAAGCAAGTGATGGAGTGATGATGGGGCCACAGAAGGTGATGGAGTACAAGTGAGAAAGATGAATGAATAAAAAAGACAGTATAAGTAACTAACAGGTAAGAGAAAGCGAGACAGCGTGAATGTGAGGAATAATCTGTGGATGACCCACAAAGTGATGGGAGTCGCAGCCTGATCCACAGAAAGCCCCTTCCACTCTGCAGATCAGAATTCTGACAAAATTGGACTCCAGCTCAGTTCTCTATTCTCTCTACTCCAATCTTTTTTTGTTAATTTGTCCCACATTAAAACCCCCAAGACAGCACTCACTAGCCTTGTAACCAGTGCAGAATAAATTCCAGTGTCAGGCAAGATGCTTTTATACCACCTCACAGACTAGAAGAAGACACATTAAGCTATCTGGACATGCCCCATAATCCATTTTATCTTCTAATTTGGGGGAATGGAGTATAATAGTATCAAACTCAGCTTTGTTCATCTTTGATTTATATTACAGATATACCAAGTTCAGTTATTTGCAGTTTCCAACATACTTACTGATACGATTTCCACATTATAGTAATATATTTTGTCTCACCATAGTTTATGAATCAACCAGTTTTCTGGGTGTTATGGCAAGCAATTAGTTCAAATACAAGCACATCTGACATGA